CAGTCTTGCTTCCTGGTGGCAATAATGTGACCAGCTTTCTCTGTCACTCATACTCACTGGAATGTACTGGGTTCCATGGGTCCGAGAGCAACTGCCAATTGACTGTGGAATTAAAGCTCTGAATAAACACAAAATCTTTAAAAGCTGGTTGTCTTGGTTACCTGTCACAGTAACATGAAGCCTTCCTCTGGTTGGCGTGTGGGTGTTGACAGTGTGTGCAGAAAATGCCCACCAAGCTTTTTCCTCTGGGATATTATGGCCTGAAGACTAGTCCCCTGCAGGGGTGGAGATTAGCCAAACATGTCTTTTTGATACAGCTGTATGTTATAAACCCTGTCTCCTAGTTTATCTGTCTGTGATGACCCACCTGTCTGTTCAACTCTGTGTAATAAACTGAGTCTCTGGGGAGCCACAGTGTCTCCACTAGACAGCCCAGTCTGTTTGATCCCAGTTTTCTGTATATCTGTGTGTCTGCCTTCTCTTTGTTCCCTCACCACCTGTCAGGTCCTAGAGCTGTGCAGGGCATGGCACATGAGGCCCTCATCCATACCTGCTTCATCTCTGCTTAGTTAAGTGAAAAACTGCGCTCGCCATAATTTTATTTTACATTGCTGTCATGAGTGATTTTTTCATGTCCTTGGCCTTCATTTCTAAGGAGTCATTTTGCTTTCAATATGAAAGGATTATAGATCGGCAGCTAATGATCACGGGGTCAGGGGAGGGGTGTCAATGATTTGCCTAACTATCTTTACACAAGTTATTTTTTAAAATAACTGCTTTTTAAATATATATGCATATGTAATCTGTACATATATATGCCTTAATTGTATATATACTATATATAATATATGAAATCATCATACCTTTGAGTTACAACTATTTTATAGGTGGTTTTCTTTTATGTGTGCCTATTGGTGCAAGCTGTATTCACACATCAGTTTAATAATTGAACATATTAAAACATGTCATCATGTGACTGATACACTTCCTCCAGATCCACTCCACACAGCATTCATCAAAACCTTGATGAGTGTTAGGTGGCGCTGCTTACCACTACTTAGGACCATGGGCATGAACAGAGTCCATCAGGGGCAAATTAGATTGATGCTCTCATTGTCTAGAGCCAAACAATTTAATGCTTGCCTCAAGTATCTTTTCAGAATCTCTTCATATAGATGTAAGCTAATGTAAATTTTTAGTCCTGCCCTTCCCTCCTACTGTTCAAACATGAGTCAGGAAAAGTTACGGACACTCTTCTCAACCCTGATTCCCCAGTAAAGGTATTGGAGACCAAACCATCCATAGAAAACTATTATAAGTTCCACGTACTACTTTGAGTAGTCTGCTATATGAATGGATATATAGGTTATCTCCAATCTTTTGTTAAAATAGACTATCATGATAAGAGCCTTGTGTGTGCATCAGGCATAACTGGGTAGTGGACAAGTGCCCAGGGTGCTGTTGGAGAGTAGATGGTAAATGTTCTTGTGGCTTTGCTAAATGCTGCCAGTATGTGTTGTGTTGGCTCATACCCATTCCATCATGTGAGAGTTCCGCCCTCACCAGTCCGCTGATGACACTGTATCATTCAGGTTTTGTATGCCTGGCAATCCTCACCATTCCCAGCAGAGAGAAATCTGGATGCAACTTGGATCTGTGCCCTGTTAGGAGCTTTCAGCATCTTTCACCTGCTAAAGGTCCATTTCTAGCTCTTATCCTGGAAACCATTTCTTATTAGTTTTTCATTACTGTGGTAGCTTTTTCTGAGGCAGGGTCCTGCACTGTAGCCCAGTCTGATCTCTGAATTCATAGCAGTTCTTCCTCAGCATCCCAAGAGCTGAGCTTACAAGTGTTTCCCACCTTTCTTGGCTTTACCAGTTGGCTTTCTATGCACCACTTGTACAGTAAGCTCTTTGTTGTATAAACTAAACGTTTCCCATTTTTCTCAGCTTTTACATATTTTGTACTCATGAGGGTGTTTTACCTTTCCTCCATCTTTTGTGTCCTCCTTCCCTCCTCCCACTTTGTTTTATTTTCCTATGGCTGTGAAGAGACACCATGACCAAGGCAATCGGGGACTTGCTTACAGTATCAGAGGGTGTGACCATGACCACCATGGCTGGGAGCATGGCAGCAGGCAGGCAGGCAGGCAGCAGGCAGGCAGGCAGCAGGCAGGCAGGCAGGCAGGCAGCAGGCAGGCAGCAGGCAGGCAGGCAGGCAGGCAGGCAGCAGGCAGGCAGGCAGGCAGCAGGCAGGCAGGCAGGCAGGCAGGCAGCAGACAGCAGGCAGGCAGGCAGCAGACAGCAGACAGCAGGCAGGCAGGCAGGCAGCAGGCAGGCAGGCAGGCAGCAGGCAGGCAGGCAGGCAGGGAGGGAGCACTGGAGTAGTAGCTGAGAGCTTACATCTCACCCACGAGCCTGAGGCAGACACTGGGCCTAGCATGGGCTTTTGAAACCTCAAAGCCCACAACTAGTGACACATCTTCTCCAACAAGGCCATAACACTCTTTCCTGAAGAGTTTACCAGCTGGGAAATAAGCATTCAAACATGTTCACCTACGGGAGACATTCTCATGTAAATTGCCACATCCACCTCCTCTTCTATCATGCAGAAACTTTTGGTTTTAGGTAGTTAAAAATGACCATCTTTCCTTTTATAGGGCTTGGATTTGGGGTGATGGACAGATTTACCTTCCCCTTCAAGGCTATTGCAGCAGAAATGGGACTGCCCTAACAGGGACCAGGCACTATTGGTACAGTAAGCTCTTTACTGGGACCACCCTGTTTTTTTGAGGAAAGCTCCAGGTTTACATTCTGAAGCAGCTGCTGACAAATCCCAATGTCTCCTTCAGTATCCTCAGCTTCTGGGGCAAGCCATTCCTTAGCAGCAGACCCCTAGCCAGAACCTAGGCAGGAAGGTACAGATTGGCCAGACACTTCTACCACAGACCTCTCTCACTGGGAATGTGCCCCTGGCTACACACCCGTCAGCAGGCACCTGTGAGGTCTGAAAAGCAGTATGATAACTGACCAACTTTGCTTCCTGCCTTCTTTCCTTAAGTCTTCTGCCTCCCTAACTCGATCCCAGCACCTACTTCCAGAGATCCTTAACAGACAACGGGGAGGAAACGTCTTAATCACGATGCAATGACTGAGTTTATCATTTTGAGACTTAATTGAATAGAGGACGTTCAGCACTAATCTTATCTTCCCCTCAGATTGCCCAGTTATCTTCACACAAGTTATTTGTAAAAGGAACTGTATTGCTGTGCAGCAAATTAAGACCTACCTACTTTATGAAAGCCAAGGCTCTTAATTGTGAGACCATTTTAAGCAAAAGATTGGAAAGAACCTAAGTGTCCATCCATGTTGGTTTCAATATCTCAGCTTGTATTTTACTCAACCCTATGAAGGCACCAAATTCTGCAGAGTTTTAAAGACTCTGGCAGGGGTGTAGCTCTCTGTAGTAGATCTCCTGATCTGCTAGGGGCAATTTCCAGAACCACCACCCCATCCCCAAAAAGGAAGGAAGGAAGGGAGGGAGGGAGGGAGGGACGGACATATAGACGTACAGAATGGTATCTGGAGATGAAGGTTTGCTTAGACTATGTGGTATGAGACTGTCTCTCCAAAGAACTCTATACCTTCACTGCTCTCACTTAGATGAACTCATGAGTCTCTTTAAATGTGATCTAGTTCTGAAAAGAACTACTGTTGTCACAGCAAGATCCAGCGGAGGTTACAAACTGGAAAAATACAACACATGGTAAAGTATTTTCTTTTTCTGATAGAGTTTCCTATTGTAGCCCAGGCTAGCCTCGAACTCCCAGAAATCCTCTTGCCTCAGCCTTCTCAGTGTTGGTTACAGGTGTGAGCCACCACACCAAGCTCAGAGCTCATGAACCAGCAAGCTTTTGTTGCACAGCTTATATGACGGACCTCTGCTCTGCATCTTGGGCGGGAGTGTGTGTGCGTGTGTATGTGTGTGTTGTGTGTGTGTATGTTCAACTTCACATTATCACACAGACAATTTTTAGTTTCCTTGGTTATTTTGTAGAACAAGAACGTCTGTGAAAATATCACTGTTATGATTTAAAAGGGAAATTAACATTTTAACTAGGAAAAAAGTAACCATGAGTATATAGCATACGTACAAATGGCAAAGTAAGTCCACTGTGAGGCACCCAATATCAGGAAACAGGAAGACAAGGCTAAAGAAATGGCTTTCTAAAAAATACCATCTGTGTTATCTGTGACAAGACAGATGCATGGTACCTGAGCACGGGTAACCAGCCACGTGGTAGAATGCAGATTAGAATAAATGAGTTATTTTAAGCTATGCTCTAGTCAGAGAAGAGCCTAGCTATACAGCCAAAGTATCTGTAAGTATATTTTGAGTCTAGGTCTTATTTTGGGGAGCATGGTGCTGGGAGGAAGAAGCATCACTAACTTCTACAATTATCTCAAGGGGGAGAAGGCGAAGCCAAAGAGCAGAGTTACAGGCAAAAGCAAACACACTGAAATTTTATGTTGTGCAAAGATTACTTTTTCTGCAACTAGAAGCTCCACAGTATTGCCTTAGATGATGAAGAAATAAACCTTTCCACCTTCCCTCATCCTACCAGGAGACCCTCCTCCTCTCTCCCAGGGGACCCTCCCCCTCTCTCCCAGGGGACCCTCCCCCTCTCTCCCAGGAGACCTGCCCCCTCTCTCCCAGGGGACCCTCCCCCTCTTTCATCCCATCAGGAAACTCTTACACACACACACACACACACACACACACACACACACACAGGAACACGTGCACCCCACTGCACCCCACCCCCCATTCTCTCACCATCCTTCATTCATCTCACTGCATTAGTAAATTTGGTCTGTGGTACTGCATTTTTAGTACCTGAAGACCAACAATAGTTTTAGCTTTTACTAATACTACCATCAAGTGTTTGCTTTCAAAGGGATATCATTGTTAAATAAGCTTTCTAAACACAACCCACAGGATTTGGAGGGAAGGGAATGTTTTTATTTGTCATCAATGTTTTGGATACAACCATCATAATTTTGTAGGTCTGCTAGAGCAGTAAGCTTGATTGACAGCATTTCCAAGAGTTCACAATTTCATGGCTAAGGTTCCGATCAAGGTAATAGAGTTATTAACTTAATATAAATGAAGCTTTAAAAAAGGATATAAAAAGCAATTTATAGACAATATTAATAACTCAGATGTTAGACTGAGCGACAAGGGAAGGTCACTGCCTAGATCAGACAGAACATCAGAAGGGCGGGACACTGCTTTCATCTAAGACGCCTTTGGTCATTAGCATACTAGTGTGAATAAGGCAGCGTGGCAGGCAGGCAGGCAGGCAGGCACGGGATGCAAGCAGGCACGGTGCTGAAGGAAGCGGATGGTGGCAGCAGGCACGGGGCACGCCTCAGTCATCCTCGCCTCCGCAGAGCAGCAGCAGAGCCTTCTTATAGTCTCCAGATGTGTCGCCCTGGAACCCAAACACACACTGTCAACTCCATGACTCACAAAAGCCACAGGAAATAAAAGATCAGGAAGTAGTTGAGCGTGACTGTGTTCCTCTGACTGTTCTCCCAATTGGGCAACTTCTCTGCATGACTCTCACGACAGGAATGTTACATGGGGAAATTCCTACCAATGTCACTCAGTTTAACTTTCTAATTTTACCCCTCAAGGGCTGTCCTCTTAATGGAGTGGAGTATGTTCCTCCGTGGAAAGCAGAGAGGGCAAGGAAACCTTTCCAAGTATGTTAAATCATCATGCTTTCCAAACAGACGCCCAGTTTCTCTCAGGCTAACAAAGGCAGCAGGGCCTCCTTGGTGCCCTGGCTTTGCCTCGGACACGGGCACTACACATGCTTTCCTCAGGCTTACCTCATATCGCTTATGTGTGAAATACTAGAGTCTTAAGTGCGCAGACTCGCTGGTGACCAAGCTCCGCACACCACACACATTGAATCCAAAGCTTTTGCTCAACTAATACCCCTCTCTATACATGACTACAAGGAAAGATGTCAGGAGACCCGCAGCCACACTTCAAGGTCACAGGGTGCTTCTCTTTGAGGGTGACAGCAGTGTTACCTCAGCCCCTTACTGTAGCTATGACCTGACACCAGAGGCACAGGGACAGCAGACAACAAAGAAAGAAATGACGAGAGGAAGGAGCTAACAAGACAGCTGATACCAATGGATATACAAGCACACGTTCTAAAAAACGGCCAAAGGCTTGGGTCTGTTGAGCCTTGGCCAGGGCTGCAACCCAGCTCACCCTTTATCCTTCTTTAGAATCACTCGCTCTAATCCTCTGACTAAAATCTTTCACTCAGCATAGAAGAATCCATTCTTTCATCTATTTCCTTCAAGCTGCCCAATCTGGCTAACGTATGCCAAAGTTCTACCTTGATCATAGAATACAGGGAGGTGGCAAAGTTCTTCCTAAACTCCTTCCTTATGTTAAACAGGTCAATCTCACTCCTGGACACCACGACTCGGATGAGGGTGTGATCGTCCGTCCCAGCACCCTTTAAAGGAGAAAACAGCGTAGGTGTTAAAAGTCTTCACATACAGCACCAAATGCCCCTGGTTTGAGGTAAACCATTGAAGTCTCAGAGTGTAGGAGAAACAGGCTACACATCTGAAGGAGACCTGCATTCCCAGGCTGTCATCTGAAGCATAATCAGAGCTAGAGAAGGCTGCATTTATTAGCTGCAGGGTGTCTACTCACCTTCATAGCATAGTAGAGGGTCTCTGCAAGGTAGGCAGGTATGCTCCGAATAGACTTCACTAAGAAAACACATAATACAACTGTCAAAAGCTATTCAGACATGGAGAATGATATAATCAAAATGCAAACACTGTCTTGTGTTCTTGGCTCTGCTTCTAAGTGTAAAAGTGAGGTGCCCTGGAGAGGGCATCTGCAAGCTGCTGGGGTTCCCTCCTCAGCTGTCTTCTTACTCTCTAGCTTAGCTCTCTTCAGAGGTCTGTGCGGGGCCAGAAAGGCACTGGAGAAAGGCTCGTCTCTGTGCTCCTTTGTTCTCTGTGGTCTTTGTTGGCACCTGGGTGGTTATAATGTTACGGCCTTCATCACCGATTAGTTATGTAACTGTCTTGGAAGTTTCTGTTCCAAAATATCCGATCAAATGATACAGGAATACTACTCTAATATCTGGAAACACTTGAACTGACTTTCTGTATTCCCTCCGAATTCTCCGAGCTAAATCTCACAATTCACACAAGCAGCCTGGATGTATTCACTACAGTTCAGACACTGGGCCAGGCTGCCAAAAAGGCAGCTCACCCCCACATCACAGCTGATATAAGTAAAGGGTATGCAGACAGGAGTCACTCAGCAAAAGACACCTAGCACACAAAACCTCTGTACGCTACAAAAACGACAATCTTTCAGCTCTGAAACTTCTCAATTCTTCCTTTTCAAAGATTAAGAAAAGCAGCTTCTCAGGCAGATTGAGAAATTATCATCTGGCTAGGAAAAAAATGTGTGTGTTTGATGTGACAGAAGGTGGTTGTTTTCAGGTTAAATAGTTTGGAGTTTTAATTAAGTACTTATAACAACTTTGACTTTCTGGTGTGTCTTCATCATGAAAGAGCCAAGTTTTTAACTCACTGGCCGTGTGCTAAGATGAAAGGCTACTTTTTTTTTTTTTTTTTTGGTTTTTCGAGACATGGTCTCTCTGTGTAGCCCTGGCTGTCCTGGAACTCACTCTGTAGACCAGGCTGGCCTCGAACTTAAAAATCCGCCTGCCTCTGCCTCCCAAGTGCTGGGATTAAAGGCGTGCACCACCACCGCCCGGCGAAAGGCTACTTTTAAAAGTTGGTTCTTGCACAAATACCCAGAATAGACAGAGGCTGTCTTCAGATCATGTGAGCCCAGGACCCGGGCCTGCAGGATTTGGAGAGCATCGAAAAATCACAGCCACCTGCAAATTCACTTCTTCAGTCATTTGGAGCACTGAATTAAAACTCCCAATTATTTAACCTGTAAAAAAAAAAAAAAAAAAAAAAAAAAAAAACTACCTTCCCATATTCTGTCACATCAAAACCCGGATTTATCTCTATCCAGATGATAACGTCTCAGTCTGTATACAGAGCTGTGGAGAGTATTCAGAGCATTCTAAAACCCCGTGGGTGTCAAAGACAAGCCATGCTTGCACGTCTCTGTGATGGTGTCCAAGACATCAGAAGGCCGTAGTATTATTTTTAATGTGGCTTTAAGACAATTCCTACTAATGGTCTTAGTGCTTCCATATAATCAGGTAAACAACCAGAGAGCCATGTATTTAGAACACTAACACGGACTTCCCAAAGAAAAACTTAAGAGTTTACTTCATCTAATGCTACGTTATTCCCCTACATTCCATGAAGAAACATGATTGTTTTCCGATTTAGCCTCAAGTGGATGAAAACAATGCATATAAGAATAAATATTGCACATTGTGAATTCACCTACCGACAGCCAGGAGCAATTGCTCCAAGTTCCCCGAGGTCTCTCGGTCAATGGTTTCCTCAATCTGAAATCCTGATATTGTCATGTACTTGTCAAACACTAGAAAAAAATAGAACAGAATGTGCTTTCTTACTCAATGCAGCGATAACACCCTCTGAAAAGAAGCTTTAACTTCTTAAAGCTATCTTTAAGGGGTTGTCTGTCCAAGCAGAGCCCCCACCCCCGTTCCATCCTCCTTGCTGTCAGAGCTCTGTGCTCAAAGCCTCAATGAGATAAGCTCTAAGCAATGATTTACTTATGATGTCACATCATCATTAATTAGGAATTTTTAAAATTCGGTTTAGCTATAAATATTGTGACAGGACTTTGTGATCTCCTACAGACAGGCCTCAAATTTGATCTTCCTGTCTGTTTCCCAAAAGCTCAATGGAGACGTGGCCAGTCTTTACCATGTCATACAGTTGTATCTGTTTGGTTACTGTCTTGAGTTAACAGTCAGATCCCAGATAGGCCAAGAGAAATACAATTTGCCTGGGGGTGGCCTTCCACCCACAAGGACACTCCAAATAAGGACAAGACATTGAAAGTGGCTTCCCTGTGGATCTTGATAGGCATAATCAAAGAGATACTACTCACACATAAGCAACCACGCATGGCTTCTAAACGGTATTTCATAAATACTGATTTCCTGGCCCCTAGCTAGTTGCAATCAATAGACCAACAGGTAAATCTGCTCTGAGCAATTCTGAAAAGCCCTTCTCCTTCCTTCTAATAAGTGACCTACAAATGTGATTAACTTGGTTTCCTCTTCTTGCCGTGAATCATTTTGTGAAGATGAGGTAATGAGCAAAGAAGGAACATGAGGGCACAGAGCAGTTGGCAGGAAGACAGAAAGACATGTGGTCCTGCCAAACCCGCTGCACCACAGCCACAGAAATGAAGCACAACTCTTAAAGCCACGCTGTGGGTTGTCGCTTGCTACAGAACACATTCTAAACTGACACGGTTCATCTGTATGAACTGGACAGATGCAAAGGAAGTCTTAGGAGACTTCTTAGTCTCCTGAGTGTAATTCTTACAGTGAGACACTCCGAGTCTAATGGCATCTGATGCCCCTCACCACCTCTGACCGTGAATGGATTGCTAAGGACATCTAGTTTTGCAAAAACTATAGTAGCGATGTCAAGTACGTCTGAGATTTCTCCAGATTCAACTGTGAAAACTGATTCTGCTCTGGGGCAGGCATCTGGTCAGATTTGCCCATGAACTTTCCAGATCTCCCAAAGCATTTGTCTCAAACAATTTTACTTACCTCTTCTTAAATGAGACACACTGCGTGTCCCAAAGATGGTGATGAACTTTTCTTCATCTGTCCCCCACTTCAGCTCTCCAGCCTGGAACAATGCCTGCAACAAACCACCCTGATGAATCACTCAGCTTCCCCTGCCCCTTCCTGAACAGTGGATCTGCCTGCCTGTGGACCAGGTTAGTGGGTTACATGCAAAGCACAGAAATGACACAGGGGTTCATCTTTCCAAATGTCTTCCATCTTCCAGGAGAGATGCTGTGTGCTGGGAAAGTTCCTGTCATCTCACTGTTGAACACTGACTTACAGACTGGAAACTAACTCAATGAGAAGCTGTCTGTGTTTTGCTTTGCTCATCCTATAGCTGCTATCATGTTTAGAGCTCATGACAGAAAAGTAAACTCCAAATTTCCTCTTTATATATGTGATTTAAGCAAAGTCCGTTGTAGAATACCTTGTACCCAGCTGCACACACCATAGTATGCTAAAACTTGCAGGGACTGACATCTACAGAGAACTTAAACACTCTGGACACCACTTGAATACCATATTTACTTCTGACATGAAAAAATATAAATGCTCACCTAAGTTTATGCACAAGCTTACAAAACTTGTAAGTGAGCATTATGAGATCTGAGGTCACTGGAGATGTGGCCAGTTCTCACAATGACATACAGTTATACCTGCTTAGCTACTGTTTTTCATTAACAGACAGAACCCTGCTGGGCCAAGAGAAGTACAATTCTCCTGGAGATGGCCTTCTGCCCATAAGGACACTCCAAATATCGATAAGACATGACAGTAGCTTGCCTGTGGATATATGACTTTTGATCTTGGTAGGCACATAGAAGTGCATTATAGTGGTCTAGAACTATTTTTTGTTTTATCTCCAGAGAATTCAAAGACCGTTTCCTACATCTTTATACCAAATAAACAGATTCCATTTTTCTTCTCTCTCCTTTCTGCAAGAGTTCAATCTTCTGTCTAGAGAAAGCATTTGGCAAGAAAGATGACAAATATCAGTTTTAACACTCTTAAAATATTAAGTCAGTTTAATACATTTTAAGAAGTGCAAATTGATTTAACAAATTTAAAATTAAAAACAAGTAAAGTATACTGTGCATATGTTCCGTTCCCAAGTGAATGGCCTACTATGGCTTATCAGACTTCTGGGATAACAGGCCTTCCTCAGTGCCAAGTGTCAGTAGAGAAAACCTCAGAGGTTTATGTGGGAGCCCTTTCACCATCTCAGCTTACTTTATATGAAATCACAGATCCTTCCTGGTGAAGACAACCTCGGGGCCTTGCCACGAGGTACAAAGGGCATGGTGCCTCCCAGACCCCAGAGAAGCGGTCTGCAAAAGGCTGACTTGCTGATAAGAACAGTCATGAGCACATGGCTAGTGTGGCTTGCTCTCTGCTGCTCCTGGCCATGACAAAGGGCAGAGAGCCCGAGTTCCGTCAGGAGATTTTAAAGAAGTCCCCCCCTGCCCCCATAACAGTACTCACACATACAAAGTGTTCTAAATGGTCGTATCTGCTGTGTGACAGGTAGGTGACATGCCCACAGCCTAGGCAAGCAACACAGTCCCCAGATAATGAGTAGGTGGGACGGTATGAGAACCATAGCCTCAGCCACTCAGGCCTGTAGGATTGGATCTGCAGGTGACCCACAGGCCCATGAACGTGAGAGGCAGCAAAACTGTGCAACAAATGGTAAGGAGAAAAATCAATGAGAAGGCTCAAGGGGCCTGCTTTCCAGAAGCTTCTTCTCACGTAGCATGGTGCTGATTACATCAGCTGTGCTGGGAAGTCTGCCCACCGGGACTCTAATGTAGGTCTCAGCACTGTCACCTGAGACTACAGTTGGCTTCCCACACTGGTAGCACTGAAAAGCTTCCAGAGCTCCTAGTCCTGAGAGCAGGAACATGAGAACTGTATCGTCTCACATGAAAGCCCAGAGGAATCAAAGCCTAGAAAGCAAGGCTGCCTTCTGCAACTGAGCAAACCCCACCCCCCCCAAGGGGGGAGGGGAAACTTGAGAGGTCTGTTCTTGCTCTTTGTCTACAAGAAAGCAGAGTTATGCTAGATCTGAGGAGCTTTTAACCTATATCTAGTAAGTGTTTCACGGGCCCTAGGGAATCAGAATGGGGAGCTAACACTGAACACGAGCCTTGTGTGGGGGAAGGGTGCTGGAGTCACAGAGCCAGGCTGGGGATGGAGCTCCAGAGCAGAGGCCCTGGGCTTGCTGCCTTATTCTCAGTTGGGAGAGGCCTCGTAGAGCTGAATGCAGCACCTCCTCATGCATCACTTACTGGCTGGCAGCATTACTGTAGATGAGAGGCTGGAACTAACCTGACACTGTGCCCTGGAAAGGCAGTCAGGCAGGCAGGCAGCTTCAGCGGGAGGCAGGGAGACAGGAGCAGGAAGCCTGGGATGCTACTGTTTTGCATGAGGGCCACCTGACTCATGTCCTGAAGGTCTGAAAGGGCCAAATAGAAAGCATCTAAGGTGGAACTGACCTTTGAATCCTATGACATGGATTATGAGGAGGTCTAAGAACCACATTCAGGGGCTTGGACTTTATCTTGAGAACAGTGAAACGCTAAGTATGAGGGGCTTAGATAGGACCGGGACACAGTAAGCTGACATATATGAGGCAGAACACAAGTGAAATACTGTGCAGTGAACCCTCAGTAAATGTTTCCTTTTTTTCCTCCTGTGAGGCCGGGACCACAATGATTGAAGCGGTTAAGCGATCAACCACCCAAAATAAGATAACGTTCTCCTCCTTAGCGAAGTCAGATGACATATTGCCGGCAATTGCATAGAGTGGTCGGAGATCTCCCATTTTCAGTGGCACATTAACTAAAACATGACCAGAGATGAGGCTACCACAGGTGATTCTAGGAACCCAAGTATTCTAGGGCCAATTCCCAGGTTTCAATTGTCCTATTTCCTAATGTTTATTTCTTATGTTTGACTGTTTATAAACCATGCTGAAATTGCACTGGGATTCAAAAGTCCCTGAAGTGAAAATGTTCATTTGGGAGTTGACCAGCCTGTTTAGAACGTTGTCACAGGAAACACAGAGAACTTCCTAAAACAAACCAGTTTGTTATTTCTTTTATAATAATAAAATGCCACTTAAACCATAAACACTTTATTTTTCCTTATTCTATCCTACTAAGAAAATCTATTCCATCTTGGCACTGGAGTGGCAAAGTAAGGCTTTTTTTTTTTCAGTTCTCCATTTTGTGAATGATAAAAAAGAACATATCTAGATGTAACTTGCAATAAAATTTGTATATTTTTACCTTAGCTTTAGGATGACACTATTTTGTTGGCCAGATCATAGTAAGAAAAATATACCTACCTACATAGGTCATATGTTTTGTAGGGAGCTATTAAATACATCTTTTAAAGTTTCTTAAAATGCACATTGTAGTTTTTCACTACTATAAATTCTTTTTAATTTCTAAGTCATAACAAAGTTGTCATAGAATATTTACCCACCTGAGCATCCAGTTCAACTTGAGCATCATCAATTGCAGTATCAGGGTCTCTATTCGCCTGTAAGAAATGACATCACATACTGGACTTCAGAGCCTCTGCATTCTGATGGAAAGATGCACCTGATGCCTATGCATAAGGCACTGTCTGTCCCAGAGAAACTATGCTTGTGCTAAAATCATAGCAACCCTACAGCATGCTATACCACCACCACACAGCAGGGTCCAAACCAGCCCAGCCCTGCTGATTCTAAGTACTATGGATGAACGGGATGCATACAGCTGCCTGGAATGAATGAATGAGTTGGCTATTTACAGTTTGTATCAGATATTCTGAGACACAAACACAAACACAGGTAGCATGTACCCATTACAGTGGCAATCTGCAAAAACCAGAAGTCACTGAATGACTTTTAAGTGGCCTTAACTTAATACAGGCAGGTCATTCCAACAACTCCTTAGTCAAATTATGTTAAGTCTCCACTAGTACCTGAAGGAGGACCACCAACATCCTCTGGTAGTACCCTGAGGTGTCCCCGACCACATCATCTTCTAGGTTGGAACCATATTCTGAAAAACAATTATTTCATAGTTGTTCATAGCATCTCTGAATTAGAAAGCCCTGCCCCATTAATCAGGTGAACGAGGCATAAAGGAAGACATATTTGATTAACAAAAATCCTTTCTCCGCCCCATCTCTCAGTGTTCCAAAGATGGATGGCAAATTCCACAAGTGAGTGCCAGATGAAAATAGGCTCTGTCAACATCTGCCAAAAGCATTCACTCAAGCCTAAATTATGGCAGCCACTCCAAAATGCTCTCCCCATATGTAGTTAGTAATATGAAGACACAGGATAACAGTGTAAAGCTTCAAAAGTATGACAACCCTCAACTGAAACTATGCTTCTTGCAGATGTTTTATATGATTTTTTTTGCCAGATGTTTTTCATCCTATGAATTTCTTTCTTTGCATGGTGGTATCTCTCCCTAATTAGATAGTGTTCCTTTGCACCAGTTAAGTCACCTCCTACAGACAGCAATGACATTTTGAAGTATAACACCTCCACCTCGGGTTCCAACTCCTCAGCCCAAGCTCACAGGAAAGCAGAGAATCGAGAGCTACCTACACTCTTTCACTAACTCTCAAACTGCATCTTAAAGTGTTCTTGCTATAAGGTATTACAGTGTTTAATCACTGTTTGAACGAAGGAATACTTTTAAAGCCTGGAGCTTCTGTTGTATGTGCATTAGAACCAGTCAGCCAAATACAAAACTTTGTAGGCATCTCTGACTTCTTCCTCTGCTCCAATACCTGTAACTAGTTATCAAATCCACCCCCCCAAACATTTGCTCCCCTGATTAGTACTCTTCATGTTCCCCACCTCCCAGTAACCTCAGTGGTGCCATAATTACTACAGAGCTTCCTCGTTGCCTCCCTAAAGAGCTCTCCACCTACTATACCTCTAGACCCAAATCTCCTTCCTTCTTTCAACTGTTCATTCAACATTCCATCAGCCAAGTTCATCATCCAGGCATGCAAAATCCCTAAACTGCCTACCTACCGAGTGCAGTGTATCTCCATACAGACACACGTGCCCGTCCCTAGAGTGAGGCTCCATCAGACCTCTCTGCCTACTGTCCTCAGGGTCCAAGTCACCAATGAGCTAAGTCACCTTTACCTACTGAAACCCATACTGTCTTTTCCTCTTCAGTTTGCTAAGTTAGAAGGAGTAAACAAAGCATGCACTATTTAAGGCACACATCATGCTTGATACACTGTAAAATGGTTACCACAAACTAACTGGCTCCACCATGTAGCTTTCTGTGAATGGTGAAACACTTAAGATCTAGTTTCTTAGAAAATTTCAGCTACTCAATAGAGTACTATGAATAGTCACCATACTATAATTCAGATCCTCACAACTCCTCCATCTTATCTCATTGTCCTATGGACACCATCTCCCCATCATCTCTTCCCTTCACCATCCCTCCTGTCCGGCCTTGGCAAACACCATATTAGTATCAATAGTTATAGTTGTTTTATCATTCATTTGGATTCTACCAAAGTAAGGTAACACCGTGTTTGTCTTTCTGCACCCAGCTCACTCAACATAACATAATACCTTCCCTGTTGACCTGTGCTATTGCAAATATCACAAGTTTCATGTTTAAGGCTAAGTAATGTGGCACTGTGTGTGCATATGCATAAACCCCACTCTTTTTCTCCATGCATTTTCCAATGGATACTTAGTAAGTCACCTGCTCTTGAAATTCTACTATCTAATTTGTATCATGAAGCCTCCCCTAAGCCAAAAGCCCTCTCCCTCCTGTCTGCATTCCGAATTAATACTTTTGATACACAACTTTTAAATTTTTACCATCCTTTACCTACTGAATATAAATAGCATCATTGAAGACAAGAGTTGTGGTACACATGTCTTCTATGCTCCTCATGACAGCCAGGGCAGCAATGGTCACAGAGCCATACTCAGTTACACACTGAGCAGAATGCAGCGACACATTTACATACACAGATACTGTAGCACAGATGCTTAGTCCTCAGTATCGGCATCCCAAGATGGAGCACTCCAAAGACCACATCAAATAAATTGCCTCGATGAGATTACGTGTACCACCTCTGCCACAGTGGCAGCAACCATACGGACTACAAAAAGAAGCTGGGGAGAGACCTGGGTAATTATTGAGTTGCCATAAATTCCATACTGTTCTGATCCACTGGGCTAAAAGCATAACATCTAAACTCTATACGTCATTGCTATGAGAGAGCCACAATCTCTGGCTAAGATTCCAGGCTGGGTCTGATGACAGAAAAACCTGACAGATCAAAACAGTCTTCCTTCACTTCCATCATGGACTCGAAATACATTCAAACCATTGAAATATGGACTAGACTGAAACACAGACTTTGTTTTCACACACACACACACACACACACACACACACTAGGTCACATCAAAAATAACAACCAGAAAACAGAACACTTTAACCAAGTACACCCACCAGCTGAACAGCATACTTTATCAATGTTTTATCAACTCCATTCCAGAAAAGGTTTCAGTCTCTCTTCCTGTTCCCCAAAATATCTTCTACCTAGCTCTTAACATCTTCCACAAAACTGAATTTATTCAAAGAAACTTAAAGGCTCTTTATTCTTATAGCGTCTGCAAATCCTGTGCAAAAATAACCTGCATCTCCCTTCAGGTGTTGTCAGTTACTGTAACTGCTGCGAGTAAAAAGTTGGGAGTTTGTTCATTTATTATTATGTTGTTGTTGGTTTTTACTGAAGAAGAACAGCCTGACTTACAAGTTCTCCCACCCAATAATCATGTACTGCCTGGGCCCCGTATCTACTCATGACCACATCCACATGACAGAAAGGACAGATGATAAACTCTGTTTACCTTCTTCATAAACTTGTTTTATGGCGCTGAGTTCTTCAGGTGTCCTTGAAGCAATGATTTCAGTTAATACTTTCTCATCTGTCCCAGCTCCCTGTTAGAAGATTTGTTTTTAACAGAGAAAACATGTCAATAAGAGAAAAAAGAAAAGAGAAGAAAGCTATTTCCCTGGATGTTATCCAAATTATATGATCAGAAAAATATCCAAGACAACATGGAGCTCTTCTTATACTTGTTCTATTATGAGAGCTTAAAAATTCAGCAGTCTATCTTTCTTTTTATTTTGCCTAATGAAAAACAGAGTTGACTTTTCTAAGTCCATCAAACATATCATTATAGTTGAGGTCTTTAATTCTGTCCCCTAAAAGCCCAAACATTGAGCTTTGTGTCCAGAGTGGCACTAGGGGAGCTAACCAAAACCTTAAGATGTGAACTAATGAGAGGCTGTTAGGTCCTTGGGGATGTCTTTAAGAGGGTGGTGGACCTCCATTGTCTCTCTCTGTGCCAGCTTCCTGCCTAGCTACAGGCCCAAAGCCTTGGGGCCAGTTATTTATGGAGCATGAGCCAAATAAACCTTTATGCTTAAAGAGATCATCACAGACAGGTACCAGAATAGAAACATGGCAGCTAACAAACAGAGACTGCTTGCTGGAACACACTTTCTGTGTTTCTGAAAAATAATTTTAGCTGGTTTCCTTTCTGTGCTTGTATAAGTCATGTCTACACTGCTACATCACAACATATAAATAGAAAAATATCTAAAACTTAGTGTTGTCTGTTTAAGCTAGCATAGGTTCTATTTCTGCTTCTTTGCAAAAACTCAAGCACTAAAATACCTAAGTCCATCCCCATGGGAAGATCTTTGCTGCCAATAATGCTCGAGATGTATTCTGTTAAAAAGCCATTTTCTCAGGGTCCCAAATCCCATTTACTACAAACTGCAATTGCAAAGCAGCATAGACTCAGCAAGTTCAGACTCTTGACTGGGTGATTCCCATTTTCCCGCTGTGTGATCACAATTGCAGAGCTGCTTACTTTGCCCATTCAGAACCAACCTACTAAGGACAAGCCATTCCATGTCACTGTTCCAGCAAATGTTTCAGCACAGTCAATTTCCACCTTTTCTATCTCAAAAACTAAAACATTTCATCTGTAACATTTTCAAGGTCTAAATATATAAAATAAGGATATAAAAACCCAGCGCACTAAAATTTTACAGACAATATTTTTTACTACACAGGAAGATTAAGCTTGATCCCCCTTTCCTTCTTATTGACTCCCGCTGTTTTGTCTGAGCAGCCTTCGCCAAAATGAGTCAATAAAACACGGGACAATTACCAAAATAAAGCAGCATGAGGTAGGACAGAAACGTGCCTTATCGACACGCTTTACCTTAAGAGCATGCTTCAGCTCGTAGGCATCGTAGAGCCTCGCGGGCTTCATCATGGCCACAATTAACTTCTCAAACTTTCCAGTCAGTTCGGACTTCAGGTCATCCAGAAGGTCCTACCTCAGAAAACATAAACTTAGTGACCACAGTCTTCCCAAACAGAAATGAAAACCCTTTGCTCTAGTCAATTCTGTATGTTGCTTCTCCAAGAATTAGAGAAGATATCTGTGCTAAACAAAGCCCTAAGGAATGTACCCTAAACCTCATCTGCCCTAAACCTCAAACACTGATATTTATCTACCAAGGTATTTAAAGACGTTTTCATTAGCTTTACACATCAAAATAAAATGGAATATGTTTTCAGAGCTTGCTATTAGGTGTGGTAACATATGCCTGTAATTCCAGTATATGAAAGGCTACAGCAGGAGGCCAGCCTGGTAACATGTGATGATAGGATAAAACCCAGGGTCTCCTCATGCCAGGAAAACACCTACATTCTCAGCCCTTTATAAATGTTCAGGCAGCTGTCCAGGCTAATCTTAAACTCACTCTGTACCCCAGATAGAATTTATTATTTCCTCCTCCCCCCTCCTTCTTCCCCTTCTTTCCCCTCTTCCTTCTTCTCCCCTCCCTCCATCCCTCCTTCCTTCTCCTTCTCCTTCTCCTTCTTCTTCTTTTTGAGACAGGGTCTCTGTATTCTGTACCTCTGGCTGCCCTGGAACTCACAATGTAAATCAAGCTGTTCTCAAACTCACAGAGATCTACGTGCCTCTCTGCCTCTTGAATGCTGGAATTAAAAGCATGGGCTACCACATCTGGCCCCCAGGTAGGATTTGAACATGTGATCTCATCTCAATCTCTGAAATTTCTAAAATTTCAGGCCTGCAACACTATGTCCATCTTTATATAGTAAGATTCTACCTCAAAATCCCAAGCCTCAGTCATCCACCCACCTCCCCACAAAGCTTAACTAGAGATGTTTCTCTGTGGCAGAGCTTGGACCACGTAAAGCACATATTCAGCACACATATTTTACCCAGCATCCTTGCAGAAGTATCCTTATAAAAGCTCCCCCAAAAGGCTTGGTTGTATCTCACTGGCAGAGCACTGTGTCAGTTTACAGTGCTTTTGGTCAAACCCCCACCACCAGAATGAAAAAAGATAAAAAAGAAAGAGAAAAATTTTCTCAAAACTCACAAATACATTTTTAAGAGCAAGATTCACCCTATAATATCTAAACAATCTCTTCCCTTTTACTATCCAATTCTCATATATAATATTAACATTCTAATAATAGTTGATGATCATTGTTATGCTTCTGACTGGTTAAGTGACACCTTTAACGTGGTAATGTTTGAAAATTTATGAAAAGGAACAGTGTTTCTCCAGCATGCCAGGTGGCAGGATTGGGATTAGACATCTTCTTCCAATGAGCTGCACTGCACTCTAAGGAGAGCACCTGGTCCTGAAGTCTGTCCCCAGCAACACTAGCGGACACTTCTGGTCTCACACTGCATTTGTTTCTCAGTAAAATAATAAATGTAAACTGTCAGAATAACAAGACTACATTACGGCGTGTCACATATGCTCTCAGTAAGATTGCAATCTTTACTATGAATTATTAATCAAGAAATCAAATAATTTAAATAATTACAATATAGCTAAATACCTAAAAAAATAGCTAATGGAGGTGGATAGGAAAGACAAGGAGCAGTTATCAACATGGGACCACTGACACCTTGACACCAACCCCCAAAAGCATCATGCAAGGAAAAACAATTATGTGAGGCTAAGTTTTTAATTATTTTTTAAATGACGTGGTTTGACTTTTTTTTTTTTTTTGGTACAGTGCATGTACTTTTATTGGCATCACCGACTGTCTAATCATCCGGGGATGGTTTAAAGTGGTTGGAGAGAGGCAAGTAACTTGCACGAGAGCACTGTGCTATTCCTGAGGACATCTGAGGAGGACAGTATCCTTGAGGTAGAGAGGAAGGGTCCTAAAACATTCCTACACATACTGGGGGACTGCTTAATTTCTCAAACTCTTTTAAAACTCATAGCTGGACTCACTCCCCCTTGGATGAGCTGTGGTCTTACCCTGCCAAACAGAGTCTTAAACTCCTGAGCAATTTCCTGGCGCTGAGCATTGCTTCGGGATGTCAACAGGGTCAGGATGCTGTCCTCATCGGTGCCTGAAATTGATGGTTAGCAATGAAAGCTTGCCTCCCACACACCCATTTGCTAAACAATCTTTCTAATTATCCCAGAAGTTACTCTGTGCTCTTAATATCCTCTATGAAAATATGTAGCACAGCTTATACAAAATGAAATATAAAATTAAGAATATATAAACTATCATATTTCATATATATGAAAATATGCATAAATGAAAAATATATATATACTATATATAAAACATTTATATGTAAAACATATATATAAACCTATATATGTAAAACATGTATATGTAATACTTTGTATAACATATTACAAAGTATTATATATAATATATAAAGTATTATATATAATATACACACACATACATACACACATACATACATACCTTCTATTCTCAATTGGACTTAAAGTAAGTAGACAAACACTCCTGAAGTTGTAAAACCTTGGCATGCTTGCCTTTCATGTATAGTTACAGTTACCCCAATAATGGCTATTCACAAAGCATAACATGCTGGGTACTGCAGGAGATTAAGAAAAGAAAAACCATAGTCCCTGGCCTCAGGTTATAGATGATTTAGTATAGAAAACATTAGAACAGACTAGCAAGTGCCTTAGGGAAGGTCCAAGTGTTACACGGTCAAAGGAAGGTCTCCTGGTTAACAAGAGTAGAAAGGAATTTGGGGAAAGGAGATTCCCAATGGTCTCTTGAAAGGGAGTCATGGAGCTAGAGAGATGGCTCAGAGGTTAAGAGCACTGACTGCTCTTCCAGAGGTCCTGAGTTCAATTCCCAGCAACCACATGGTGGCTCACAACCATCTGTAATGGGATCTGACGCCCTCTTCTAGTGTGTCTAAACAGCTACATTGTACTCACAGACATAAATAAATCTTTGAAAAAAAAAAAAAAAGAAAGGGAGTCATATAGAGAGGACAGGCTTAGAATAAGAACAGAAAGATACAGAGCTTGCAAGCATAGCAGACACCCAGGCCTGGCTGGATCAGGAATATCAAACAGTAATGTGAGATTAGTCTGTTAAAAGGGGGCCTGAGAATGCCATAGGCAACCCTCTTCAAGGCTCAGGTGTCTGCGAGGAGATAAGACAGTTACACAGGAGAACCCTCAAGAGGCTGGCAACTGGTTAGAAAGACACCAGTGGGAGCAGAGGGAGGTGGTCTGTAAGAGCTTCTTAAGCAGAAGTGGACACTGGATGGGCAGAGCCACGGAGCTAGCAGTTTGTCTCACACTGTGTGCAGGCTGGACGGGTGACCCCCACAGTACAGAGTTGATGGATGATACTTGCAAATCCAATTCTAGAGAATAAATCTTCAGGATGGTCTAAGATATTACTTCATTATCTGAATGTATTTGTCCCTGCTCCCCCACCCCCATCCCATTATTTGGCTTTTTAGAATTAGAAGGTTTAAGTTACCCAAGCCTTTCATGGCCTTCCGAAGAACTTCTGCATCAGCCCTGCCATCGAATCCAGGGAAGTCAGTCACGGTGCCTCTAAGAGCCTGAGAGAGGAAGGACAGTATTATTCACACCATGACCAATATCTGACCTTGCTCAATGCTGTGCTTGATCTCTATGTAAATTTGCCATCTGATAAGATCTGCGACCCACTGAAAGGGGAAGCAACCGCTTCAGAAAAAGTGACAAGCCCAGACAAGGAGAGAAGACACCAAGACCCACTGACAGAAACATTGTCAGGGTGCAGCTCCCCCCTCTCCCTCACTGTGATCCCACCCAACCAAACCTGACATGCCTGCAGTTTCACTGACTTATGAAGATAAGTCTCTCCCCATTCCATCTTGAAGCACATCGAGCTTGTATTAAAATGTGAAGCCCCGCCCTAAGCACTCAGTTGAAAACGCAGCCCTTGATTCCCACGCCCTCATACTGAGTCCAGGTCCTGTAGATCTAGTGATCCTGATTCAGCAATTTCTGAAAATATTTGGTAATGTGTGTGACAAGTACCTTGAAAGATACTCTTTTCTTTACAAGCCTCCCTGTTTCATTTAGCATATGAAGTCCTTCTTCTAAGCTCCCATGATTCCTACAGCATGAAAGTGACAGGCACATAAGTAACTGAGTGCAGAAGAGCAGGCACACACTGATCAGGACCGCACATATGAACACAGACACACACACACACACACACACACACACACACACACACACACACACATACAAACTACACTTGAGAGACCGTGAGAGGGAAAGCACAGAAGTGGGAAGAGAAGAAACTGAGGTGGGGGGGGGGAGGATACCCCAAGACTTAAAAGTTGCCTGTAAAGTTGCCAAGATCATAAAATAGACAACTGCAGAGTTGCAGCTTGTCACCTCTCAGCATGCATAAAAGCACACAAGGCTAAAATGACCTATTACTCCAGGCAGAGTGCTACAGTGGGATGGAAAAAGCATTACGTTGGATAGACAAATCAACACAGGAAAAGTCTACAAATGCCACACAAATAAATAGTAAAAGTCTGATCACGCAGGCAATGGGGCCAGGAACAGCGTTGCCTCTGGGCCAGGAACAGCGTTGCCTCTGCTCGGCACTGACTGACAGTGTTGGGACAGAGGAACAGGCAATCTGAGAGTGGAAACCAGCAGGAATGGGAGTCAGAGCCGGCGGTGCTGGTTTGGAACTTAGACCTGGACAGTCCATAGCAGGCACTTGGGGAAAGGGGCAGGCTGCAAGTAACAAGGTCATACAGGTGACAGCAATGCTGCCGGAGGGAGCCAGTATATCAGGTCACATTGAAAAGGTGGGAAGGAAAGAAAGAGGGGTGATTAGGATCAGAACGACAACAGCTACCTGTTGCGTACAACACTGGTCCAGGTGCTGTGTGGGTGCCCTGTGGGTGTCTCGGTGAGACTTGACAAATGACACCAGCTTAACAGTTTAGCAAATCCTTCACAAGCAACTAAGTAGGAGTTAAGACTTGACTCAAGCCAAGGGCCTGTGGCTCCTTAATCATGAGGCGTTGAATTGCCTCCCACGGAAGAAGACAGGGAGAAAGAGTTTCCCAGAATGTCCTACTTAGGGTTACTACTGCTGTGGTGGGACACCATGACCAAAGCAACTTGGGAAGGAAAGGGTTTATTTCACATACAGTTCCATACAACAGTTTATCATCATAAGCAGGAGGGGCAGGAACTCAGGAGGAGCAGGGCGGGAACCTGGAGGCAGGAACTGATGCCGCAGCCATGGAGGGGTGCTGCTTATCAGCCACTGCTTCCCCTGGCTTGCTCAGTTTGCTTTCTTACAGAACCCAGGACCGCCAGCCCAGAGATGAGACAAGTTACAATGGGCTGGGCCCCTCCTCATCCATCACTAGTTATGAAAATGGCCTATTGGCTTGCCTACAGCCCATCTTATGGAGGCATTTTCTCAACTGGGGTTTCCTGCTCTTTAGCTTGTAGCAAGTTGACATAAAACTAACTAGCATACAGAAGAGAGAGGAGAAGGGGACAGAACACAAGGCTGCCCAGAGATGGGACAGGAGGGTGTGTCAGATGTGTCCCTGTGGTAGACAAAGTACGCTGCAAGACACTGAGATGGTTTGCCTCCTCGGGAAAATCACATCTCACAAACAACAGATTGTAAATGCACTTTAAAAGGAAATATTGATCTGATCTGTAAGTTAGGAAGAAACTGCAGACAGAGCTAAGTGTGGGCAAGATTAAACAAAAACTATAAGTCATTTTTCTCAAAACATACATCTGATCCTAGGGACTGAAGGAAACTGATGGGTGTAAGGAAGGAAAACACCCTTAAAGGTTTCAGCTCCTATCTAGAAGAAATAACTTCCAGCCACATACTTAAGAACTTTCTAGAGACTGATACACAGTTGTGCTATATTCCATACAGGGATAGCAAGGCCACGTGGCAGTACTAGCAGATCAGACGTGAGTCATACATGTGAGTAATGTGGACGGAACCCGAGTTAGGGCTCTGCCTGCCCCTTACTACCCACACAAAATGCAATCTGATTCTGAGTGAGTCATTGGGAGGCCCCCATTTCCTGAAATCCCCATAGTCTACCAAAATAAGCCTCATCCACAGCAGGTTCTGGTCCCTCAAGCAGCCTCAGCTTAGCAGGTTCTGGTCCCTCAAGCAGCCTCAGCTTATCCTCGTGTATCTTCATCTCTTACCAAGAAAAATTTATGAAACTTGGATACACAACATCTGTTCACAACATAAAATTTACTTTTTAACTCGTATCTAGTCTTTATCTTGATAATTCTGCTGCCTGGAAAGGTGGGGAGACAGGAACACAGAGTTCTGCACCCCCTCCCAGTGAAACAGGAAGGTCTGACTGAACGAACAAACTAAAGGCCCACTAATATTTCCTGTAATAAGGCAAACAACTGATGAGGAACAAGACATCCTTATCATTGAGTTAAGATGAGGCAAAGGCAAGCAGATCTCTGTGAGTCCAAGGCCAGCCTGGTCTACAGAGTGAGCTAGTTCTAGGATAGCCAGGGCTACGCAGAGAAAGCCTGTCTTGAAAATAAAACAACAACAGCAAAAATAAAAAGAGAGGAAGAAAGGAAGGAAAGAAGGGAGGGAAGGAGGGAGGGAGGGAGGGAGGGTGGGGGGAGGGAGGGAGGAAGAAAAGGAGGAAGAGAAGGAAGAAGAGGGAAAGAAAGAAAAAGAAAAGATATTGGATGGTCAAGAACAGCTGGCAAAGTGAGCCTGACACATTTGAGCATCACAAAAGGAAACAAACACAGGGAAAAGGTTAGACTCATTAACAGGACCCAGGAGTACAACACAGCTAGGTCAGACACATGATCTTGGCCCTGACCTTAATCCTTCTGACCCTGTTCAAGCTAGAGTAATCAGAGAGGAAGGACCCTGCCTCCGTTGAGGAAATGCCTCCATGAGATCCAGCTGTAAGGCACTTTCTCAGTTAGTGATCAAAGAGGGAGGGTCTAGTTCATGGTGGGTGATGCCATCCCTGGGCTGGTGTCCAGAGTTCTATACGAAAGGAGGTAAATCAAGCCATCAGAAGCAAGCCAGTAAGCATCATCCTTCAATGGCCTCTGCATCGGCTCCTGCCTCCAGAATGCTGCTCTGTCTGTGTTCCTGTCCTAACTTCCATCAATAATCAACAGATTGGAAGTGTAAGCTAAATAAACCCTTTTCTCCGCAACTTGCTTTTTGGTCATGGCGTTTCATCACAGCAATAGAAACCCTAAGACAATGACTTAAATTCTGTTAGTCGGGCTTTTGGGGCATGTCTATAATCCTAGCTACTCAGGAGTCTGAGCAGGAGGAACAACAGTTCAAAGCAACAGAGTGACTTCAAGGATATCCCAGGCCTCAAAAAACAACAAAGAAAAGGGCTGCTGATGCAGCTCAGTAGCAGGGCATTTGCCTAGTGTCTGTGAGGCCTAGCTGTGTCCCCAGTGCCAGTCTTCCCCCTACCCCCTGGTGTGTATTTCTTTGCTGTTGTACGGTTTGATTTTAATCTTCCCTTCCGGTGCAGAATGTCTTCCACTGGCAAACATCAGTCAATGAAAGACACACGGTGTGCTCTTAGAAGCTGCCCGAGTTAAGGGAGGTGTCTCCATTGCTGATGTGTGCAAGAGCTTCAATCTCCATGAGCTCTTGAGGTAGGGGACAGCCCACTGCTTCACCTAACTGTCCTGAGGGCCATTCTGTAAACAACAATTGGAAAGCAGCCAATCAATCCATTTGCAAGATGATCAGAAACCAAACAGGTTTATAGAGATTCGAAGCTTTATTTCCTCGTATATTTCAGAAGCACAAATCTAAATGACTATGACTTCAAGTATGCTAAGGTAGAAACTTTTCAAGTGCTGTTTAGTTATAGACAGAGACACATAATATAAAAATCAGCAGAGATGTGGGAAGATTTGGGGAGTGTGAATACCTTGCTGTTCGGTGGGAAGTGCAGCCTAAGCACTCTTCAAAAATTCTGTGTGGGTGTTTGACCGTCTGTACACACGTGTGCCGCACAAGTGCCTAGTGTCCACAGACGCCAGAACAGGGCATCAGATCCCTTTGAATCAGGGCTACCCACAGATGGTTATAAGCAGTGTGGATGCTGGGAAGTAAACTTGGATCCTCAGCAAGAGCAAGTTAACCATCTCTTCAGGCCCCAGGTAAAGCTTTTTGTTTTGTTTTTAATTTATGTGTATACATGTGAACCTATGTGAGCCTATGTGCACCAGAGTATGGGAACCCACAGAGCCCACAAGTAGACATTTGATTCCCTGGAATTAGAGTTACAGGCAGTTGTGAACTGCCTGCCTAATGTGGGTGCTAATAACCTTAATATTTGATAGGAACTCAAAATTCAATAAATCCAGTTGTCTTCCCTGTCCAAACCTAAACTCGGCAAGCCAGCCATCCTGGCCTGCACCTAGCCCCTCATCAGCCACCTCCTCAGTCATATATCAAAGTGGTCCCCTTCTCCCATAGGTCCCTCCTATCTAGGCCCAACTGTGCCCTGCATGGTGACTAATACCTGTATTC